GACGTATTGCCTCGCTAGAAAATCGTTGAGACTTGCATGCTTGAGTAAGCTTCCTAGAGTGTTCATTATGGTGCGATTTCTTCATTCAACCATACCGTTTTGTTGTGAAGTGTACGGTGCAGTTAGTCGATGCTTGATACCTTTCTCTTCGCAGAACTTCATGTTTCCAATGAGCTTCTCATCAAGCTCCTTAAACTTTGTTCAATCTCCGGTCATGTGGTTGCTTGCTCTGTTGTCAAGGTACCACATGTTGGTCTCCACTCAGTCTTCTCCTTTTGTGAGAAGGTTCGTCATAATCTTCTCTTCGTTGAGCATCTTCTCAGTCAACATCAATGCGAACTCTTGATCTTGCGTGAGTGTGAGGTTTGCCTCCCCATCACACTTCTTCTTCTGGCACTTTATCGCAGAGTGCCCATATTTTTCACGAGAGTAACACTTGATCATACTCTTGTCCTTCTAGGGGTTAGTATTGTTGGTGGTTTTTGAGGTATTATCACGACTCTTCTGCCATCACATCTAGGGCCATGCCATCACATCATTCTTTTTCGACTGTGCGAGCCACTCCTCATGGATTAGTAAGAGGTATTTCTCCTTCTCATCCTTCTAGGGGTTAACATTGTTGGTGGTTTTTGAGGTATTATCACGACCTCTTCTGCCATCACATCATTCTTTTTCGACCATGCGAGCCACTCCTCATGTATTAGTAAGAGGTATTTCTCTTCTCTTTGTCTTCGTAGCCACGAAGTCTCTCCTCGTGGACCTTGAGACAACCAACGACCTCCTCAAATAACATGTTTTTTTGTATGAATCTTGGGGGACAACTTGAAGAAACTTCTTAACGACGGAGATCTCCTTCACCATGTAACCTAATGAACGAATGCCGCTGACGATCATCGTTGACTTCATGGCAAAGTCGTCTATTGACTCACCGTCCTTCATGCGGATAGCCTCGAACTCACTCTTCAAGGTCTGCACCTTTGCTTCCTTGACACGTTTCTCACCCACATACATTGCTAGCAGCGTCTCCCACGCTGTCTTTGCCGAGTTCTTCTCTACCAACATGAGAAGAACATCTTCTAATTTTGCTTGGTAGATGGCGGCAAGAGCCATCCTATCCTTACGCTCCTTAATGTCACCATGCTCGATGACGTCCGACATGCCTTGTGCCCGTTGTTGACACGCATCTTTATCAACTATGTTCCGTAGTTACTCTTTGTGAGTAACGGGTACTAGAGCCTTACACTCCCCTCCTTTTCGCTCTTTATTATTGTCACTTCTGATTTGTTGTCTTTGTATGGTGACAATATTTGTTTCAACATCCTGGATCTGATACCAAATATTGAATTTGAACCATGATTAAAATTTGTTGACACAAGTAAAAGAAGCAAAGGAAAAACTTGAAGGGAGAGAGCCTTTTGAACAAAGTAATTTTAAGCACTTGGGTTTTCAATTCTCTTTTGTTATTGTGTTGTTGTGAAATGAACATACATCTCATTAGTATTTATAGTGGAGAAAGCACTAACTAGCTTCCTAAAATTTCTCCTCAAGTTATGAACCATTAACAATTTTTCTAATTAACGCACAAAACTTGTCTACAAACACAAAAGGTGGTCCATAATTTGGCAACTACTAACCATTCTTTACTACATAAGTTAGTAACTTATTCTACTACGTCTACTAACCATTCTTTACTCCATAAGTTAGTAACTTATTCTAGTAAGTCTACTAACAATTCTCCTAACGTTACTATATAAGTTAGTAACTTGTTCTACTAGCTCAAGTTTATTAGCTCACATATACAACATCAAATGTATTGCCATGAGATCAAATCATTCACGTGAGACAACTATTTGATTCAATTTTTGATAAGTTAGCCGAAATAACCATGCTTTCAGTATTTGTTAAATTAGTAAACGACCCTGTGTGTTCGAGATCACAGGGGCTATAGGTTATAGTTTTCATGTCATGATCGAAACTAATATTAAGGTGTTTTAATATGAATTTTAGTTCATATGCTTGCTTTCGATTTGAAATAACTTTCCAATGTTTAAACGTGTTTCTAACATAAAAAAATGTTGTTAAGTACTTAAAATGTCATTTCAAATAGACTTGTAACGAGCAGTCGAGATGCAAGAACCTATAGAAATTAGCGACTTAACTGAAGAAGGATGACTAACCAAGCACAAGATTCCTCCCACCGAAATTCATAAGCGAGCCGAGCAAAGATGCCAATCGAGTAGCATTTCAAGATGCCACACCCCTATGGTGGAACTGAAATGACATACTCTTTACCAAGGGGAAGAGATTGGAGCACTCAAGCCTTGATCCTCGACCCTTCTCTTTCTTTACTCTTTGACTATGTCCATAGAGATCGTGCAAGGATGCAAAATTCATAATTGACCTTGAGCCCAACAAATAGGAACAATTCCTACCCAAATCCAGTCCACAATCCCTCTACCCAAATCTAGCACGTTAGCACCCAGCACCTAGTAGGCCCAGCTGAATCTGTGAGTCTAGCCTGCTTCCGTATTCACGCCAGCCTAGACGTGCGCTGTCTCCACGCTTATAACACATTAGACACGCATGCTCAACCATCGGCTCAGTCCCGTTTTCTACCTAAGATACCCACCAACCAACTTCAGACCTAGCAACGCCCCACGCGCAACCTGCAAGTTGCTCCGACTTGGTGATCGACCCATGACTTGCGCCCTTCTCCATTGCCAGCTCAACTCGTCGCACTCCAGTGGCTTTAATTGGTAAATTTATGCTATGTTTTATATTACGTCGTAATACAAGTTATATAAGAAACTTAAGTATGATGTTAAGAATGACATATAAGATTTCAAAGTTCTAGAACATGTCATGGGTATAAGCCAAGGCTTATGACAAAGTTATCATTAATGACTCCTTACCAAGACTCAAGATTCTTATAGAACTTTTAAGAGACATGTTATAACTTCGTGATACTTTGAATGACTCATGCATATTACTATGATGAGTCTATAATTTATAAGAGTTGAGTAAGACTAAAAAAAAATATGTAATGACTTATGCCTTAAGAATGTTGGGTATCACTCAAGAATACAGGACAACATCTTTATGACTAAGATTGTATCGCTTGGAATGTATGAAGCCTTGTGCATAGGATTTCAAACTGCATTGTTTGGAACATAAGAAGCATTGGATATAGGTTTTAGACTACGCCACTTTTTCTCTTAGGAATTCAAACTATGTTGTTTGCAATGTAAGAAGTCTTGGACATAGGTTTTTAGATTGCGTCGCTTAGAATGTGTAACGACCCGGGAAAAAGAAAAAGAAAAAGAAAAAAACACTCAGTCACCGGAAAACTCGTGGGCCCCATGCAAAATACAAGAGAGAGAGAGATTTCAGATAACCTCGGCGAATTTCCAATTCCTCCGACCAGCCCCAAACCACTCTAAAATCGACGTCAAACGCTCAGTTTCCACCACGATAAGGATACCTAACCAAAGCACAATAACTCAGGATATGTTTTGTGCCTTTTCGCAAGCGTCGTCGTAGGTAACCGAAGTCGAAAAATGGAGTTTTCCTAAACGTTCTTAGATCTGTGGGTTTAGGAACCAAGACAAGGAAGAAAGAGAACCGAAATCAGAGAGGAAACGCCGCGGGAAGGAGAAAGAAAATGCGCCGGACAATCAGCCGAAGTTAGGTAAGGAAAACGAGATCCACCGATCCAGGTCAACCCGAACCCAAAATAGCCCGACTTCTTTCCCCTCGGCCTCTGCCTTCGGCCCAGCCCAACTACAACAGCCCAAATCTCAATCTAGCTTAAAAGCCACAGTTCAGCTGAACTAACCTGGGACCAAACCCACAGTCTAATCGAACCGGCCTGCAACCCAAATACTTTCGGCCCAATCTAGTAAACCAAGGCCCAACAACCAGCCCAACCCAATAGCCATCTGCAGCAGTCGACTCGAACTGGAGTGCGATCCACACCTCAACCCGACACACACCGCACGATGTGGCGCGCTCTGATTCTACCACGTGGCACACAGTGGCGCAGGCGGTCCCTTGGCTCGGCTCGGCGCAAATGGCTCACGGCTCCCAGGGGCTGTTCGGCTTGGCTCCCCTATTTTTAGCTCGATTTCCACTATTTTTCGACCCTACCGGACCTATTTTCGGCCCTGATTAAGGTATCTGAGGTCGTATTAGAGTCGTATTTCACATTTATTGAATTATTGGTAAATTAATTATGAAATACTAACAGAAGGTGGTGAACGGTGTGATAAGAAACAAACTCCGGCAACGTAGGAAGCAGCTCTCACGGAACAGGAGCTTAAATTTAGCTAATTAGGGAGTACTTCGGCCAAAGCCAACCAAGTAAGTGACCTTACTTTAGGATAGGATAAAGATTGTTTGAATTATGATGATGTATGAGTATGTGTTGTGTTGTGATGTATGTTAAATGTACGTTATTTATATTTCGATGCATGACGTACATGTTATAATTGATGCACTTAATGGCTTCTATGATGAGTATGATGTATGCATGACAATGTTATTAACATGATGATGTTTTTCATGTTGAACATTCCTTATGATGTTGCTTGCCATATTGCATCATGTCGTTAGATCGACATAGGACACAACCCTAAGTGTATGAAAATGATATTAATGTAAATATGCACGAGCATGTGTTACATAGTGTAACCAAGGGATGAGACTAGAGGGTTGTGTCAGAAGAAATGTATAATTGTACTTAGAGGGACTTCATGTATATTGTATGTTCATAAGCATAGGGCTACTTCCCCTAGAGATGATGAGGGCAGACATGCACTGTATGATGAGCACAAATGCGCACAGATGCGAATGCATACAGATGAGGGTGTTCATGAGGCGCATGACACTATGGGGTTCCGCTGACCTCTGGACATCACTACATATTAGCTTGACCAGAGTGTCCAGGGGGTGTGCGAGCGCCCTAGGGATTCACACTAGCACGTGCGAGTCATGTGTAGGGAAGTACTACACATCGAATTTGTCCGAGACTGGAGGCCACCCTTAAGATGATTAGAGATAGGTCCCTAATTCATGATTGAATGTGTTTGCATTAGCATGACCCCTATAGTGGGTTCACTTACTGAGTATTTCTTAGCCGTGTGCCATATTGTTTTTCAGGTAAAGGCAAGACACCCATGTACGGTTGACGGCGGCATCATGATCAAAGATTGTGACAAGTGCATAGGATAGTTGCATATTTGAAATTTCTAGTCTTTGTTAGGATAGGGTGTTTGTATTTCATTTATTTAAATTATTTAATTTGTAATTGTTTTATCTTATTTTGAACTCCAGCATGTTGTTTGAAACATGTAAGTCCTGTCGTGTTTTCTAATGTTTTAACATATTCATGAAGGGAATGAACTCTTCATCCACATAGAAGCATTGGAACTGTTTTGATTTTTATTAAGAATTAAAACAAAGCAATAAATAGAAGAGTAAGAACTCTACCTTTGTAGAAACCCTAGCTTGCAAGACTCCTTGGAGTATTCCAACCATGCAGAAGTTCTTCAACATTTCCCAAGATCTTCTTTACTATGACTCGAACACAAGGTCAAGGCTTGTGATAGCCTCTTGAAAGAAAATCTCAAATGGATTGGAGAAGAGTTTCGAGAATTCTTTGGAGATGTAATTTCATTCTCTAGAGAAAGGGGGAGAGATTGATATGTCTTTGGCTCAACCCGAGGGTCCTATTTATAGGGACTCTCCAAAAAATATTTGCCAAATAATATATTTGCATATTTAATATAAGATATTATACCTTATATAAATCATATTAAGATATTCTAATATATATTTAATTAATTTGAATCTCATTCAAGTTTCAAATATATTTTTATTTAATGCATCAAAATACATTAATTGATTTAATATTTAATGGTATCAAATATAATAAATATATTTTTCCTTTTTTAATAGTATTAAATATTAATTTCAACCATTCAAATTAATATGTTTTTATCGATTTATATTTAACATATCTAATATATTAAATATTAATTTGAACCTTTCAAATTAAATATATTTTCTCTATTTATTAAATATTAATTTGACATTTCAAATTAAATTTTTTTTTTTTATATTTAATATATCTAATATATTAAATATGAATTTGAACCCTCCAAATTTTTTTTCAAATAAATTGAACCTTTTAGGTTACTATGAGCTATCAAGGGGACCTTATAGGACCTACAGACCTACAGATTATAAGCTTCAATATACAAAATTAATTAATTAAACTTTTTAATTAAACAATTTCTATTCATTAACTATAGGTCACTCCATTATAGACCTAGAGTTGCTCTCTTATGCACTGTAGGACAAGTTATGTTCATCGATATAATCATTACAAGCAAGTCGATCCTTCACGAGTTATTCATAATTACAGCTAGGTCAAAAGTACGTTTTACCCCTGTAATTACATCTTTCACCTTAAGTACCATTGATTCTCTAATGAACAATTTGTCTATGATCCAATCATAAACAAGTCCCTCTCTAGCCAATGAGAGGGTGGGCCCCATTGTTCAAGTCCCGAATACTTAATGGAACAACTCATCTACTTTCCTTATATGGAAAGGAATGAATTCATCTCATGATATTATGTTCCCAACTCTCTATTTGGTCAAGTCCCCAAAATAGTAGGAATCGGCTAAAAGAGTCATTCTCACCCATGTAAATTAAAGGACAAGCCCTCACAAGCAGAAGTTCATAACTCACTCAGGATTAAGATCGAGTCGCATATGATCATCATGTGAAATATTAATCTTCTCAATTAACGGATTTATAAAGAGAAATTAAATATGTTTTGTCCAATCTCATACAAACTCATTGTATACGATACCCCTACTTACATGTCTCCACATAAACAATTTGGATCAAATCATTTGTAACGATTACAAAGTGGTCGTATCAATAGTTTTACTAGGATAAGGCACCCAACCTTATCCATATACTATAAACTCTTTAGGTTATTATTTGAACACGATCCTCTTATATGTCAACCACATACTGTTCAAGATTATATTAATAACCTAGGATTTTCATATAATAGATAACAATTAAATCACAAAAGCGAGTGAGACATGTGTCCTGGGGCATCTCTATACCCAACATGTTCTCCCACTTTCCCTAGAGAAGATGAGACATGTCTCGTAATCCTAGACATTCTAGATGACCCTCAAATACTTTAGCCTAGAGTGTCATTTTATATAAATCAAAATAATTATCATTAAAAGTCATCTTGGTCACTACCACGATGCTTTCCCTCTCAATATCATTCTTTATAGATTGATCTTTTATAATTTCCTTAATATTAGTCTTTGTATCACTATCATCACAATGAAAGTGACAAACTAAATCATATCTGAAACACTTTCATATGTTTAAGAAATTATTATAGTCATACAAGTCATTTTGTTGTTAAAAGCAAAAAATATTCCGCTTGTATACCATACTTCACTATCTAGGGTAGAATTGATCTTAACATAAATTTCTCAAAATTTATGTAACTAGTGTATCACTTAAAGATCAAATCTTTAACTCCATACACAAAATAAAAAATTCTCATTATCTATCGATACTCTGAGAAAACTTTAAGTTTTCACTTAATGATCATATCATTAGTTTAACTAATATAATCTAATTAACTGTATATTTAACATTAATCATTCTGTGAAGTCTTGCATCAAATATTTGACAACAATTTTGTCAATAAAATATACATAAGACAATATTAATGTCTATCCTTAAATCTTTATTTTTAGTAGATACAGAATTATCTCAGATCATTTAACTTTAGTCTCATTTTTCTTGAACTTTTCAAAAAAAAAAAAAACTTATGTATTGATAAAATATTAATAATATTCTTTAACTTTTGCATTAATCACACCACTTGGTTCAGAATGCATAAGCCCAAAACGCTCTTTGGTTTCCAGCCTTTTTCAAAAGCCAAATGATTATCTTGCATGAAAAGCGAGATCTATAGACATGTAAAGTAATTAACTCCAATGTTTAGAGAATTAACTTTTACTAGTCTTTTCATTGTATTCAATTTGACATTAATCAAATGAACGGCCAAAGACAAGTATCATCTTTTGGAGAAAACAATTTGTCTATTTATTCTTGATTCTCTAATTATGAATATCTCAATGTTTCGTAGCATAGTAAATGTTAACATTTTAACACATACTAATTGTACTTAATTTGAGCGGAACATATTTTCAAACAATTTTGAAAATATAAATTTTAGTATTTCAAAGTAACTCGGAGAAATTGAATTCCTCTCAAGGTTACTAAAAACACCATGTTCAGCATTTGGTAACAATTTTAATTTAACATCTTAATGTCTCCCACTACACCCACTGAGTTTGATTTCCTAGTGTCAACCGGTAGAATCTATTCAAGAATTGCATATAAATATAATGAAGAACCGTATATCTTATATCAGCTATTGAGGTGGTGTCACTCCGTCTCCACCAAAAATCTAGTAAATCAAATTTACTTTCATTTAATTTCAATCACGATGACCGTCCTCCCTAAAATAGCTTTAGTCATAAGATTTTTCTTGAATTTTTGTAATACTTAATTTCGAGATCATTTCGATAACTATCTAAGTTTAGTTTTTATTGACTTAAACATCTCACATGTTTTTGTCATTTTCTTATCTTTTAGTCATGACATCCAACATGTCAATTAGAAGACATGAACAAAGCTTTCTCATCACCTTTGATTCACTCTTCAAACAATTCGATTCACATTGACAATAGGTCTTGAGAATATTTCTCAATAAAGACAACAATATTAGCTACCTCTGGGATTCCGCTGTTACAATACCCATACAAAATAAAACTATAAAAAGTCTTAAACTTTTAATAACATGGGTTGTCACCACGTGTCAAAATATATAGAAAGTCTACTAAACATTTTTAGTAAACTATTATATCCAATATTTCTTGGAGTGTTATTTAGAATTTGTATATTCATTCATGCTACTTTATCTTTTCAGATTGTTTCTAAACTTACATGGCTTTGCGAGAGTATATCAAAGCATCCCGAATATGAATATCGAATTTAAAATAGGTTTGAGTCATGTATTTGTTGGATGATGAAAGTAAGTCCCACATCCGGCTGATTTAGGGAATGATCATGGGTTTATAAGTGAGGAATACTAACTCCATTGGTTGAGGCCTTTTGGGAAGCCCAAAGCAAAGCCATGAGAGCTTATGCTCAAAGTGGACAATATCTTACCATTGTGGAGAGTCGTGTTCGTCTAACAGTATTGACTCTAGTAATTCTTGACTATATTTTATTATTTTATAAAATATTCTAAACTTACGTGGTTCTCTTTGTTAGCATTGACATGATTGATATAACAAATGCAATACAATACATCAATTACGGTCCTTTGAAAAAAAATCATAGTGTTAGATGTAGCCAAAAAGATCCTCGACTTTGTAAATTAGTTCCTGCAAATCCATATCAAAGAGGTTGTAATCCAATCGAACGTTGCAGAGGAAAGGATATCATAGAAAAGGATGATGATGCATCTAACACACCAACAATGAGTTCCAAAGGAAAACCGCTTTTAAATTGATTTGTGTAATAAATTATATTATTGTTGTTTTATTCAAATTTTTATTCTGTGACATCTATAGAATATTAATATTAAACTCATCGATCATAAATTATAACTATTATAAAGACATTAAATATAATATTATTAAATTTTTATCGATTTTAGCTTGGTTAGGAATGAGGTCACTCCAACTTAAGTCATATATTAAATGGATTCTTTTTAGGAAAACTTAGATCTATGAGTGAGTTTAATGCATCATACAAATGTATGGTATGGTTGACACGCCACTAGATACACACAAAGAACATGAATTCGAGTATTGTATGATCAGGTGGCACGGTTGTTATCAAACATTTTCAATCTCTTCAATTCATGAATGATCCGGTTTCCATTACTGATTCCTTCTATGGAGGATATTACATAAATTTTGTCGTCAAAGCTGCATTTATACATCGAAAGATCAAATATTTTTTGGATTTTCTTCGGCTTATATTTTTCGACCATTTGCCCAATTTAAAAATAATAACCAAGGCCAAGGTCGTCGATTTATATCCAAAATTGGAGATATTATTTTTGAAGGCTACCACAATGCCATAGACACTTTCAATTGTTGTACCATGAGATGCATGAGAGAAATTATAAAACATACTTCAGCTATGTCTTAGACATGTCATTTTTATAGTTAACATCTTACCGCTATTAAAAAATAGTCACATTATGGTGCACGGGTTTCATAATTAATTTTTCTTAAAATTGACATAGAAATGTAAATCCATGTTTTAATGTTAATTTTTTTGTTTTTTTTTTTCCTTTAAGAATTATTATAATAAATTGACATCGAACGTTTTTGGTACTAATTGCAAATCTATCCCAAAATCTTCTATTTTGGTGCATTATTTCATGCATTCTGGTATTAGATTTAAGCATGTGGATCATTTACATCGATAATTTAGATATGGAGTATAGCCACCATTAGAACGACCACCATTAGAACGAAAGGATCTTCTGCATAGCGGCGAGTATTACCTTAGGACCCTTCTCATGGGTCATAGTGAATTAAGTCGCTCCTCACAAGACCGATGAGGATCTAGACATACATGAAACCTAGAGCTAAGAAGAAAAAAACCTAAGTTGTGAGTTGGTAGGAAGTATAATGAGGATAGTTGACCGAGAGTAGTTGAACAGTGACTTACCAAGTTGGTAGGAAGTATACAGAGGATAGTTGACCGAGGGTAGTTGAACAGTGACTTACCAAGTTGGTATAGTCGTTTTTGGGCGATCGTTAAAAATAGTTATGAGCACATAGCTCAAGTTATCCGAGGCACAAAACCTGCGTCTTCGGGCAGCCCAACCTACAGCAGCCAAAAAACCGCAAACTAAAAGTCCAAACCAGTAGCCAACATCTGCAGTAGCCTAGTAACTCAAGTCCCAAACCTATTTCGACCAGTAGCCCAGTCTACAGCGCCTCGACCCGACATGACCTGTGCCTTGTCCCGATGCCATCTGCACGATGTGGCTTGCCCTAGTGCTGCCACGTGTCCATCTGTGACAGAAGCAGACCTTCAGCTCAGATCGGCTTCTGGCGGCTATTTCCAGCCTAATCTCCTATCTTTGGCCCCGTTAAGGTAATTTAGATCATTTTGGAGCTGTATTTTACCTTTATTAATTTATTATTAATTTAATTATAAAATACTAACGAAATGTGACGAACGGTGTGATAGGAAACGAACTCTGATAATCTTTGGCCTTACTATAGTACTTCGGTTATGTTGTATGTTCATAAACATAGAAATACTTTCTCTAGAGATGATGAGTACGGACGTGCATAGTATGATGATGAGGGTGTTTATGGGGAGTATGACACTAGGGCTTCCACTGTCCTCCGGACATTGCTACAAACAGCTAGCTTGACTAGAGAGGGTCCAGGCGGTGTGCAAGCCACCCCTAGTATGAGATGAGATAGAGATATGTCCCTAGAGCATATTTGTATGTGATTACATTTAGCATAGCCCCTGTAATGAGGTCACTTACTCAGTATTCTTCGAAATACTCAAGCCGTGTGTCACATCATTTTTCATGTTAAGGCAAGGCACACATGTATCAATGACAGCGACATCGCAGGCAAAGACCATGGCACGTGCATAGGATAGTTGCACATTTAAATTCCTAGTCTTAGGCGAGTATAGGTTGTCTTGCATTTCAGGTTACTTTTATTTTGTATTTGTTTTCAATTGCATTTAGTGTTATGTCCTAGAACATGTAAGACCATGGCATTGTTTTTAAAGTTGAAGATATTATTATTCATTCAAAATTTATGCTATTTTATGATGTCGATTTAAAGAGTATTTTCCGCCTATGAGCTAAGTAGTAGACATTAGTAACGACTTTGAGTAAGTAGAAATTTAAGGTCGATACACATAGTCTAATTAGGATAAGCTTTGGATAGAATACCTAGTAACATGACTTTATTGCATTAGATTAGGTTATGGATCCAAGAACTCGAAGAGGTTCTTCACGTAGTAGCAGAGGTGGTAGGGCCTCAAGGCGGCTTAGGAACACCTAACAAGCCCTCGAAGGGACATCAAACAGTAATTATTCCGGTAACCATGAGGCATATGGTTTGACCCCTTAATGTCGCAACAAGTATAGGTGCTGGTACTACCTTGTTCAATCTCGAGAGAAGGATTAGAACCATGAGTAGATTGTAGGAGGTTTTGAGAGACATGTAGATAGCTTGTCATCAGTGGAGCATTGATGTTGTGCACGAGAAAGCACCTTTACTAGGCCAAGAAACATTAAAGGATTGGAGCCGTAATGAGCCTTAAGTAATGCCTGATAATAGGAGCTAATGTATTGAATGACGGAATTATGGCTCTGAGTGCTCAATGACAACTCGTCTTACACTATCAATCTAGCCTGGAATGACACCTCGCTAGAGAAAGCATCTAGTAGGGAGAAACACCCCATTTGGAATGGCTACAAGTAAAGATATGATTGAATGCCACTAAGAGTGCAGTTGATAACACTAGCAGTGTCCTGATAAGAAAACAATTATGCCCGATAAGATGTAGGATGCCATGGATGGCAACATTGGCTTGAAAGAGAAAAGCTAAACACATTGATAGGTATGAGGTAGGAAATTGTTGCAGCCAAGGGTTCATGGGTTTGAGTCAATCTTTATGGTCGACATGTGTGTATAGAGGAAAAATTGTACTTTGAAGATTAGACAATGAAGATTCAAACAATCTTTTAAAGGTGCATGATGCGTGTCCAATCGATGAATAATACCTTGTACGAGGCTGAAGGACAAGGACTTCATGGTTCTGTGTACAAAAAAATTTCTCTAGTTCAGATGTTCAAAGAACTTGTCACAACCCAAAATTTGAATCTCGAAATCATGTAAAACAAGATGGATAAGAAGAAATTACAAAAAAAAAAAAAAAAAAAAAAAAAAAAAAAAAAAAAAAAAAAAAAAAAAAAAAAAAAAAAA